GCAGAGCAGGATCTATACCCCAGCCATGTGGAAACCTGATACCTACAACAGCCTTGATGGGGACTGAGGCTTTTCACCTTTTCCTACTCAAATTGAGAACTGTAAATGAGTGTTGCTGGTCACCACTGCCAGCCCAGTGCTGTGTGGTTGCTGGCCCAGCCAGGGAGCCACTCTGGTTGCCATCTGATGCCTGGGAACTGAGGATGGCTTTGGGGACAGGGATCAGTTCCCACTGCTTACAGAAACAAACGCTGAACAGTTTCCTTGACGCTGAGATTTGGGAATGGGTTGGGACAAGGAGCTGGATGCCCTCAGTGACAACACTAGGCACCAGCAGAGCCAAAACTTGAGTGATGAGAGTAAAACAGAGGATAGAATCCAGCCTGTGCTGCTCCTGCTTCATGGGGAGGCAGGATGGAGGTGAGTGATAAAGCAGAGTCAGGCTGCAGAGCTGGGGCACTGCTGTCCCACCTGCCAGCTCCACACACGTCCTGACATGCCTTTGACACTCACAGCATCAGCCAGCCGAGTGTGGTGCCAGGGCGAGCTGACTGGTGTATTTTAATTAGAGGGAGACTAAATTACACCGGACTACGAGAGCCTGCCTTTCTCACAACGGCTCGGGGAAAATGAAAAGACTAGCATTTTCAATTTAAGGTTTAGTTAGATAATGCCTGTTGGTGCCAGTAGATTACAGAGTGGATATTAAATCCTCCAGGATTTGCAGTGGGAAAGTACTCCCAGAATCCATAAGCAGGCAGGAGAGCACGGCTGTGGAACTATCGTCCCCTGGAGGTCCCGAGCAGGAGGAGAAAATGGGAAGTAAATCTTTTCTTTGAAGGAAGCTCCACGTAAAGAGCACACATGGGCAGGCTGTGGCCTTTAAAGGTTTCCCTGTTAAGAAGCTTTCTTGCTTCTGACAGCAGCCAAATGGCATGTGAAAAGGTAATGGGGGTCTGTCAAACTGCTGGAGCAGGGAGAGGCAGGACCTGGGCACTCCTGCTGTGGGGTTCAAGATGGGTTTCTCTGTAGGATCCCACAGAAACACCTCCTGTGAGTGTCCCTGTAAAACCAAGGCAGCTGTCCCGTGGCACATGAGCTGCAGAGCTTAAAAAGCAGTTTAGAGGCAGCTCTGGTGCTGAGCTGTTTGATGTGATCAGTGTGAGCTGATGTGGGCACAGGAGCTGGTGAGCAGCTCCTGACATCCTCCTGGTGCCTTGGGAGAGCCCACCCCAATTTCAGCGGGACCTGGGGGCATTTAGCACTCAGCAAGCTCTTCCTAGAGCTTATCCAAGTCAGAATCTGCTTTAAATCCTCCCTGAAACACAGCCAGGAGCCCAGGATTCAGGGTCAGCAGTGCCAGGGAAGCTGCTCCCTTTGGTCTGTGCCTCTCTGTGTGCCGCTGAGGGACTGAAGGCCACACTCACCTGCCTTCTCAGGGAGAAAGGGCTGAAAACTCCTGTTTAGAAAACACTGAAGATCCAGCAATAACAAGGAACTGAAAGGACAAAACGTTTATCCTTCATTACTCCCATACATAAGAAGCTTTGCCCAACAGCCCGTGGCCACTGTTCCAGGACCAGATATGTGGTTGCTGGAGGTGTGTAAGATTAGTAGTTTAAAAGCACTAAAATGTGCAAATTAATTACCACAGCTACCCATGCACGTTTTATCTGCTTTAAATGCTGGGCTTTTTTTTTTTTTTTTTTTTTTTTCCCCAGGTTAAGGGAAATATTAACCTATAAGGAGCCATATCAAGGGCTGACAAGCTAAAAGTCTAAAGATCAGATTCTTGGCAATAAAAATTCAGGAGCTATCATAGTCTTTGATTGAACATCCCAATAGTTTCATTAAGAACACGTCCCTGTATTTTATGCCTGCTAATTAGCAAATTCAAACACTTCATCTCTGTGTTATCTTTGTGCAAGAGAGTGGCAAATTTATGTCATTATAATATATTGCCAAAATTTAAAGGTTCACAAGCAATTAGATTTTGTAATTCTTGTTTATGCCCCCGAAGAACTGTTCATTTTAAAACTTTATAGTTAATAGGTGCAAAGATAAAACGGTGGCCTGTGTTGCTCTGGTGACAGAAGTCAAGTGAGTGAGCTGAACAGATTCTTAGAGGGGAATATTTTGGAGGTGGCTGCCTTGATTTTTAGCTGGATATTGCAGGGAATTCACACCCAAGGAGAGGGTCTGTCCCCGTGTTACTGGCACTTCCCTTGGGCACCGTTCCAGTTTGGGAGCCTGGGATTATAAATACGGAAGGATTGAGGATAGCAGTCGCTGTTAGCGGTGTGACAGTCGGTGTCGCTCATTTCTGAGGGCAAAAGGCGGTGGTTGCGGTCAGATGGGCGGCGATTGATGAAAATTCATGGGAACAGCCCCGGCAGCGATGGAGCGGCGGAGCGCTGACACCTGCCGGCAGGACCGACCTGGGAACCTCCTCCTGCCCTGGGATAGACCCTGGCATTGTCCACAGAGCCTCCTCCTGCCCTGGGATAGACCCTGGGAGCAGCCCCAGAGCCACCTCCTGCCCTGGCACCAGCCCCACAGCCAGAGCAGGTTGCTCAGAGCCCAAACCAACCCACCCTTGGATGTTTTTAGGGATGGGGCATCCATGGCTTCTCTGGGCAACCTGTGCCAGGGTTTGTCTCCCCTCTCTCAGGGATGTTCCTGGGATGAAGAGCCGATGCCTGAGCAAGATCCAACCCCCTCCCCGTTCTGCCTGAGCAGAGGGAGAGGAGCCATCCCGTCCCTCTGAGCCGGGAGTGCAGTGATGCTGAGCTCAGAGCAGGCTGTGAAGATCATTCCAGCGTGTCTGGAGCTGCTCTGCCTGGATCCCCCGAGCAGGCACAAGGCAGCCCTGCAGCTCTGAGGTTCATTACTCCATCCCCACACTGCTCACTGCCTCTGACTGCTCGGGGGATGAGCTCCAATATTATTTTCTGGTGTCAAACAGTCCAGGAGTGCGGGGGGGTGTGCTTGTAACTTGCTCTTCTCATGCTTAAATGGTGGAACTGAGATGTTCTGCAGCAGTTTCAGGACAGGAAGAAGATTTCCCTTCTGATTGCTTTTTAATCACAGTAATAACAGTAATGGAGGCAGCGAGTGGAATTGATGGGGAAGAGCTGAGCTCTCCTCTGTGCCAACTCCCATGTGGGGTAAACAAGAAGGATTTACTGGCTGCTCAAGTGAATTGGTGGCATCCTTGCTCTTCAGGAACGAGTCTGGGGAAAAACTGGTATCTAATACCTGGGAGATAGATTATGCCAGTCATCCTCTGGAAAGCACCCTGCCTTGGTCTGTCTGGGGTAAATGGATAATCCTTGCCTGCTTTTGTTCTTGTCCCCACAGGTTGATACGAACAACTGCTCTTTTAAGCAGCTGTCAGGGTGTGTCTGGCCTTGAACCTGCATCTTTAGCAGCCCAAAAGGGTTTTACTCTCTCCCTGTGAGGCAGGAGAAGACATAATGTGGGCAAGACGTTTGAGCTGTGCAGAACCAGAGGTCTCCAGGGGGTTTAAGCGGGTGGAGGGTCCCAATGGTGCCCAGAACCAACCTCACGGGGAGATCTGGGTCTATGATGGGGCAAAACAGTCCCTTCACAGTCTGATTTTGGCCAGTGCCTATGTGAACAGGTGTTTTTCTCCAGTGGGAATCACTGAGGTGTAACTCTGGCAGGGAAGAGCCCCAGGCTGAGGGGTTTCCCGAAATGCCTTTGCAGGAAGGGACTTGAGTGGCACCAGTGTTTGGGAACCAACCTAGCTGGGCAGAGTAGCCTCAAGGTATTGCATTAGAAGTGCATTCATCAGCTTTGACCATCAGAATTTTCTCTGACCTCGACTTAAAACATCCATAAAGCAGCGAAAAAGCTGGAAAAAAAGAATATTTTTCGGAGACTTTAACCTCACTGAGGTTAAAACACACAGACACCAAAGCCAGACCTCAGGTAGTTTTGATCAGACATGGAGCTCTCTCCTTTATTTCTGCAGTGTGTGTGTGTGTGTTGCACACGGGAAGGGCCTCATTTACATCAGCGCAGCCGTGTCCTGTCTGAGGAGCTGGAATTCCTCTTGCTTTGCTGATCGAGACAAACACGACAAAAACAGTTCATGCACAACACACCTGAAGCCTCTGTGACAGATCCCCCGGGACTGAAGAGGTGCCACTGTGCTCCTCTGGCAGGGCAAGGGGGGACACCAGCAGGGCTGGAAGGGTGGGGAGGGGGGGGGGGGCATGGCAACCTCCCAGGAGCAGCTCCACGGGCTGGGAAAAGCTGTGTGTGCAGGGTCTGTGAGGATTTGGAGGAGGGGACGGGGAGCAAAGAGGCTGTGGGGGCTGCAGAGGTGGGGCAGGGCAGGGGACAGCAGCAGGAAAGGGATGGTTGTGTCCTCAGGCTGGTCACAGGGGGCAGTGCCCAGCTGGCACTGGGAGGAAGGGGGGATTTTAACATCCCAGTTTTGGAGGAGGAGGAGGAGGAGGAGGGATCACAGACGCATTTTGGAACATGAAGAGGAGGTGGTGGAGGCTTTTACTGGAACCCAAGTGATTACTGGAACCTGCTCAGGGGGCAAACCAGTGAGACCTGGAGGGGGCTCGTTTTCTCCTTTCACACACGTACTCAAACCCTTCAGGGCTTTCCCAAGCAACTCTATCCCATAGTTTCCCTTTCTTCACATCCTGCCCTACCACACCAGCCCCTCCCCCCTCTGGTCATTAAGGCAAAAAAATAAAATAAAGTGACATTTCAAGTACTCTGGAGCAACCAACGTTCAGCCTCAGAAGTTTTGTAGGAGGTGTTGCATTGAAAAGCAGGATCTTTGCACAGGTTTTAGCCAGAAGATAATCTTCGGGGAATGACAGGTGGGACCTCTCTCAGCAAGGTGCTGGAGGCATTTGGGGGGCAGGAAAGGGGCAGAGCAAGCCATGAAAAGTAGCTGTTAGGTTTTGGTTCTCAAGGTTGGAGGGCCCTGACCCTGCCATGGGCCACCTGCTCCCACTGACTGACCAGGGGAGGCTTTTGCACAGCATGGACACAACCCCTCAGCTTGTCCATGGAGAGGGAAAAATCATCTCAGGGAGATGATGGAACGCTTAACCAGCCCTGGCTGCTTTGCAGGCTGGGTGCTGATGTGACTCATCTGTCCAGGGGACAAATAAAAAATATTATCCTGAGCAAAGAGCTACAGGGCTAATTCTCATTGCCCACTGCAGGGAAAAAATAAAAAAAAACCAACCTGAACTACAGTATATAAATCAATTTTGGTTTAGGGGAATTAAGAAAAACCACTAGAAAACAGAAAAGCACCCAACACCTATGGCGTCTAATCAATCTTGTATTAGCGGGATGGATTTTCTTTTTTATTTCTTAATTTGAAAAGGTGGCTGGAGGGGCACTTTAATGGGATGGAAAGGCTCTCTGCCCTCCACCAGCAGCAGGCCTTGGGCTGCAGCAGCTCTGCAGAGGTCCTGTCGTGGCTTTTTGGCAGGCAAGGAGCAGAGCTGAGCTGGTGGAGGACCCTGGGGAAGCGTGGTGGGACCTGCAGGGATCCAGGGAGGTGGCAGTGCTGGACCTGCCCCCAAGCTGGGTGTCCCCAAAAGAGGGTGGGTGACAGGGTATAGAAGAGGCACAAAAAGAGCTTTTAGCCTGTCACTGCTCCCAGGGGCTGGCTGGGACCTCTCCGTTCTGGGCAGAGCACCCCAAGCTTGGGACCTTCACCAGGATTGGAACAGCTCCTAAAAACCCACTCAGGACAAAGGGGGGACGCAAGTTTGTTTGGCAGGGGGTGCTACCCAAGCATGCATGCTTCCCAGGAGAGGCAGAGCAGCGAGGGGAACAGGCAGGGGACGACGAGGGGACGGCAGAAGGAGGGGGTTACGTTGTTAAGGCCTGCGGAGCTTTCAAGGCAATTGGGTGATTTGGGGGAAAAAAAAAAAAAAAAGAGTCCTTGTTTTCTCTAGCAAAGGTTATTCCCTGCTGCACCTTCCCTCTCCCTGGCAGAGATTAGAGCAGTAAGGTTAATATAGTAGCAGGTACATCCATGAAAATCCGCAGCTGAGTCTTCACTCCAAGTGCTGCCAGCTCTTCCCTAAATCTTCAGGGATCAAGGTGCCTCGTTGGAAGTGGCTCCATTGCCTTTGTTGACGTAAAAGGGGCGGTAATGTGACTGCAATGGAGAATTTGGGGCACGTGAGTTTGACCCACCTCCTCTTTCTGGCCACCTACACCTTCTCACCCTGGCTCTTCGCTCCTATCTGCACCATCACAACAAGCAACACGTGGCAAAGGTGTGTTGTGCAGCCTCTGGAGGGTTGCAAACACAACAGCCAATTCATTTTGTTTATTTATAGTGGTCACTGGCTGCACTGGCCAAGGCAGAACCTGCAGCCCAGGTGAGAAAATGCTCACACCGCTGGAGCAGAGAGCGTGGAAATCAGGAACAGTTTGGGTTTTGTAATGCCCAGCCTGGCTTAGGTTTGATCCACTGCCCAGATCTCACGTGCAGAGTGTGGGAGACACCTCACAGAAACACACTGGCCCTTTCTTGTGCAGCACCAGTTTAATAAGAGGAACAGCAGGAAGGATGGGCAGAGCAAACCCAGCTCATCTTGCTGCTCAGTGCCCCACACCTCCTGCTCAGTGTTCCCTTTTGTTGAAATTCTTTTCATTTTATGGCTTTAATTTCCAATATAATTAAGATATGGAAAGGGTGGGGGGGGCTTGGTTTAAAAGAACTTCCTGGGGGTTAAAAAGACATTCCTCCTTAGACTGAATGCTCCTTTGTGAAAATTCATATTTACAGACCTTTTAGAATGTATATTACTTAAATACACATTTAAGGTTATTTTAAAAGCTAGATTATTGGCCCAATAGACCATGAAAGCTCCTGCAGAGACACTGCAGTCCAGAGCACGCATTTCTATCTTGGTACTTTTAAATGCTTATATTTATCAGCTCAATTGTTGGGTTCAGAGCTACCTGGTGAATGGAGGTTATAAAAATAAAATAGTCATCACAAGTGTGAGCATCAGCAAGGAAGGGAGACAGAAAAAACTGGTGAGTGTGTGGGAATGTGCTTATAGTATTTGTGCAGGGCCAAATCTTTGCAGTATTGATTATCCCCCCAGCCCAGAGCTGTGGAGGTGGTGGGGGTTTAGTCTGCATCCCTAACAGGAGCTGCTGGCTTGGAGCTTTTCCTCTCCCATTTCCAAAGGGCCCATCCCTATCCTCAGCTGTCCCTGGAAGAGGCAGCTCTCCTGCTGGAGATGTGCACAAGCTTTCACACCGAGGAGATATTTCTTACCAATACAGACTGTTTAGTGGATTTCCATGTCTGTGGCGTCACCTTTGCAGACTGATGTCTCACTATGGAAGGGTAAGCTGTGACAACATAAAACAGCCTGTTATAGATCAGTCCCTGCCACCACCCCCGTGTCCCCTGGCCAGCGTCAGGACGAGCAGCAGGACTGGAAGTGCCACATCATTAGTATCGCATCGCTTAAACATGGAAACGCAGCCATTGCTGGGGTGGGACACAACAGCCATCAGACAGAGTCCAACTCCACCACCCAGCCAGTTAGGAGAAGGGAGTAAAGGAGGTCTGGCTAATTAAAACGTCTGAGGAATGCAGGGAGGTGGAATGAATGCAATCAGACCAATTAAGTTCAGGCCAAATCCCAAACTCAGCATTCTGACTCTTGCAAAGGGCACCCTGGGCTGTTTAATTAGCGCAAAGAGCTGAGGCCTGGGGTTCATGACAGCACCTCTGGCGGTGTGATAAGGCCTAACCCCCTTCTACCACACCAGCTCCGTTCTGACTCAAAAATAACACCAGCCCTGCTGTGTCACAGCCTGTTTCAGGGTATCAGACAGTGGCCTTTCCCCACCATCTCCATCTGCAAATTAGTCAGACCTGACTCTCCTTGGCAGGTGCTGGTGCCCTTGAACTCATGAAAAGAGGAGGATGAGGTGGTGAATGTGGGATTCTGGTTCAGGTGAAAGAGGACAGGCAGCTACTGCATACTTTTTTTTTTTTTTTTTTTTAAGGTTGTGCTCAGTGTCTCTTAAATCTTTCAGGAGGACACTGGTGAGGCTGGAGGGGCAAATGGCCATGGACATCATTCCCTGGTATCTTCCTCATCTAAAATTTGTCTCTACCCATCACAAACGAAATTTTAAATCCCTTCACCTCTTCACTAGATAAAACTTCATTAACAGTTGCTAACACTGCTTAATAAACTCCCGTTGCCCTGGTTCAGCAGAGTTGCTCATGAAAGCACGTGCGGGTATCTAAGTCAGGATTGCTCCAGGCCTTCTCTGGAGGAGCAAAGAACAGGATGAAGTGTGTTATCAGCTCAAAAAGGGGCAGGAGGAAGGGGGAATACTCAATTCCTAGTACCGGTCTTAGTGAAGAGGCTCCCATCAGACTGTTTGCTGAAGTCACCGGGCGGATTCTGTCCCACCGAGGAGAACTGAAAAGGCAGCTTAGTACCATTGCCTACTGGAAGATAGAAGAGGTTGTGTTATTCCATGGTGTCCCACAGGCTGCAGTGGAGCAGCCCGAGCGTTTTCAACACAACCCCCCTGTAAAGCTGCCTCCGCCTGGCCTGGGGGGTGGGTGGGAACGAGAGGCTTTGTCCCTCTTCTCTGGGGGAGAAAGGGCAGATGAGATCAGTCAGCCTGGTGTGCACGGTGTGTGAGTGTGGGCTGATCCCAGTGCCCCAGGCAGGGAAGAGCCTTTCTCTGGAGAGACCCAGAGTGCAGGTGTGGCTGAAGAGCAGCAGCTTCCTGGCAGGTAAAGGGCATCTCCAGAGACAGGAGTAATGACTCCACGGCTGCCCAGGCTCCCTTGCCTCCCAGCGGTTTGAGGCTTTATTCAAAGCCCATGGAAATTAAAGCACGGCTTTCCCTCTTGGCCTCCTCAGAGTCAGGCCCTGGCTGCCAGAATGAATCTGAGAGCAGAGAGATGAGAGGGAGACAGCCCTGCCTGTGGCATGGCAAGCAGGAATGACTTGGGTGTGCCTGTGAGTCACCAGAGCAACCCCAGGTAGGGTGGCCGTGGCTGCCTCTTGAGTGAAGGGAAAGGCTGGACCCCCTGAGCATGAACAAATCAAAGGAAGAAAACACAGGTGAGGAAAGGGAAGATGGGGATCTGGGAAGAAAAGGCTCCCTGCTGCTGGTTCTCGGTGCTCAAAGCACCCCATTCCCCAGCCCTGCTGGATGCTGTGCGTCCTCTCAGTCCCTGAGAACTTAGGAACCCAGCAAGAGGTGTTTGTGGGATGGAGAGGAGCAGCCTCGTGCTTCTGAGACTGGCTGGGAGTATTTGGAGTCCTCTCCTGGTCCTGCCACAGCCTCCAAACAGAGTGTTATGGGTGGGGGATTTTGTGGCTCCTGTGTTTTCCACCTCCTTTCACCGTCTGAACAAGGAGAGCCAGGGATGCCTCCCCCTGGGTTGGGTGTGTGCAGACAGTGCTGATCAGCCAGCTCTGGGAGACAGTGACTGACAGGTGACAGGACAGCTGAGAGGGGAAGCAGGAGAGGTTGGTTAGGCAGCCAGAAAGCTGTGGCACGGGGGGTTAGATCCTCTCAAAGTGAAGTGGGAATTACCCGTACCAAGTGTTTCCTCGGTCGCTTGGAAGGAGGAAAATTCCCATGATCGTGGGTTGAAATTGGCTGTAAAACAAGAGCATCCAGTTCAGCAGTCGGCTCCTGGTGAGCTGGCTCCAAGGTCTGGGCCTGGCATTGCTCTAGGAAACAGGTCCCCACCGATTTGGGAGCAACCCCAGAGCAGAAATCTGGGCGCAGGGAGCACAGGAAAGGCTGGCCTTTTTTTCCCTGGGTTCTAGGGAATGGTGAACAGACTTCTCATGTAGAGAACAAAGCTCTCCCTGCCTCAGAGCTGCCTTGAGCTGCAGAAAATTGCCAACTCAGGTCTGTCTACTCAACAGGACTGTTCTGCAGAGGGATCTGCATGCAGAGCTTGGATTTAGAGCTCGGGAGATGCAAGGAGAGGAACATTTCCCTCAGGAGCACGGGCTGTCTCAGCACTGGGACAGGCATGTGCTCCAGGGCTTCACCCTGGTGCTGTTGCAGCCCTTTTGTGAGGCACTGGGCTCCCAGTAAAGCAAAGCCAAGGTGAACACTTGGAGCTGCTATGCTGCCATCCTGTGGGCTGCTGCTCTGGATGAACCCTGCTTCTATTTACACAGTTCTCTCTCCCTCTCTTGGGCGCCTGAGTCCCTCCTGCTCTTCACCCAAAGGCTTCCAAAGGCACGAGATGATCTTTCCAACCTCCTCCTGGCTTTGGCCAAACTGTTTGCAGCATCAGGATAAGAAAGCTTAGTGGGAGAGGACAGAAAGGAGCATCGAGCAGTTGAAAAAAAAATTGTCCCTCCATCTTTTGAAACGTTTTATGTCTCAGAGCACTACTTGGGCAGCATTCCTCAGCCCAGAAAATTTTCCACTGTGGCCTCAGGCAGAGCTTGCAGTGACCCAAACCAAGCCAGAAAAAAGGGTGTGTTACTAATCTCTCATGAGATCCTCAAGGATTCTGTGCACATGACACAGTGCAAAGGGGTGGTCCTCTTTTTCTCCTCCCATTTTACAGAATTCCTTAGAAAAGATGCAATCAGCCGTGGTGCTGGACCTGGACATGACACGTGGGGAGAGCACAGAAAGCTCCAGAGAGTTAAATGATGATGGTTGTGTTGCATTATTCATCAGGCAGTCCTGGGCCAGCCAGATAAGTGGGTCACATCTCCTGCTTTGCCTACTGATTCATTCTGCTCCCAAATTCCCCGTGTGTGGCTGCAGCAGCTGGATCCTTTCTGTCATGCTGGAGCCCTGACCCTGCTGGAGAACCCAGTGCTGTCCAACCCCCATTTGAGCAGAGGCTGTGAGTGCAACCACGAGCTTTAGTTGTTCTGGACAAAGTGACTTTGTTGGTAGAAAACACGGAATGAGGAACGTGGGAGGCAGCACAGGCTGTGCTCTCTGATGTGTAGGTGGAATAAACGCTCCCCCAGTATTTGAGGGGCCACTGAACAGCCCTCCCAGTGCTCAGGGCAGACAGCACTAAAGGAGAAACCCTGGATTTCGCAGTCCCTGGTGATTCTTCCTGGCTCTTCAAGAGGTTGGGATGCTGGATCCCAGCAGGCAGCCAGGGAGCTTCCTGAACTCAAAGCTTCCCATTTTCGAGTAGAGATTGGGTTCAGCTTGTGCAGTTCTAGAATTAATTTTCAAACATCCCTCAAGGCTGAAAAGCCTTGTAAAAGTCTGTCAAGCCCTGAGACAGCTGGGGCAGCAGAGCAGCACTAACCATCTGGGGAGGTGTTTGGAGACAGGCTCCATGCAAAACCAACCTCTGGCAAAATGCCCCCCTGCCCCCTGAGCTGTGTGAAACAGCCCTGCTGAAGCCTGGGAATGCCAGCCCTGCCCCTGGCATCTGCTCCAAACAACCCCCCTCACCCCCTGGGCGCCAGGCAGGGCTGCCAGAGCCGCCAGGCGTGGGCAGGGAGCTGAGGAGAAGGGCAAAGGGGAGCTCCAGACAAAGGGCTCAGTGTTGGGAGCTGGGCTGTCCCCAGGAAACCCCAGCACAGAGCAGGAATACACCCTCAGGGCAGTGCCACTGCTGATTGCTGGGGCACATCCCTGCCCACCAGCTGGCTCTGCAGCTGGAAGCCTCTGGCAAAGGCTGGCAGGGCTGAAATTCGGTGGCTTATTTCGTGCTACCCTTCCTGCCCTTTCGTTTTCTCCAAGGCAGTGCCTTGCCTGGGCTTTCAGCACCCTCAGCTCCTCGCTCTGCAGGGTCCTGGAGCTAATTTACAAATGGCAACTGTCATTTTGGAAGTCATTTTGGAGTGTTGAGAACACTCATCTCCTCCCAAGGCTCATCCTGTAGTGGTCATGCAACAACTGGGACATGAGCAAATCACCAGGGCTCTTGCTGTCAGAGCTCAGAAAGGAACTCCAGCCTCCTGTTTTTTTTTTTAGGACACATTTCTCACTTCTTCTGCCCTTTTCCTGCAAGGAAAAAGCATGTTTGCTGGTGAAAGTAAAATCCTAATGTAGAGCAAGCCTAGAGCAGCTTTCACACTTGATGGCACAGTGAGATAAGCTTTGGGTGGAGAATAGCACTGACTTTAACCCAGTGAGACATCTTAAAACCATACATTCACAAACTACACTCTTTGAAGGAGTTCAGCCACTCCAGCTCTTCTCTTTTTCTGCCCTGTTTGAGATGAAAAGGCAAAACCTTCCCAGAGCTCTGTAAGCTGGAGAGAAGACTCGGCATAAACACGCAGTGGGATGGAGGGAAAGCAAATTTTGGGACTCGTTATCAATGAGGATCCTTCCCTAAGCTGTGTCTGGAGGAAGCCTGGCCACCTGTATGTAGGGTGCCATACCTTTGGGAGACAGGAACATGGAAAACCTCTTCAAGTTGTCAGGCTGGTTCCACTCGTAGTTGTTCATCATGAACCGGTGGTCACCTGGAGAAGCAGAGCAGAGAGAGGGGGAAGTTGAGTGGCCCTGAGAGGGAGGGCAGGAGGGGGAAGGGGATAACTGGGAGGGCTCAGTGGCTCCTCCAGTTTTTGGAGGAAGATGCTAAAATAAAGCAGCAAACAGCTCCAGACTCTTGGACAAGGGTGGTCGGTTCAAGCCTCATGCAAAGTGGATGAAATCTGCACTTTTAACAGCTCTTTCACAGCCTGGGTTTGGTTTTCTGACACTGATCCACAGGAAATGATGTTTTATCAGAACACTTGCTCATAAAAACACATTCTTTGGAGGCCTATACAAACCTATTGTTCTCTGCAAGGAAGACAAATTTGGTTCCCATGTTTAAATAGTTCCATTCTTTGATTCTTCAGTCACTGAACAAACTTTTATTTTATTTCTCCGGTTTATTTCTGTGTTATTTAAACTCCCTGGATGCTTCCTGATTATTTGTCTCCTTGCCACTCTGCTACGTAGGTACCTGTTATGACAACTAAAAGAAAGTGGATTCCCTTTGGAGTCTGCTATTAAGCAGGTTTCATTCCATTAATATAGTATTTCTTCCTGGGAAGGTTTTTACACCAGAACATCAAGCCAGTAGCAAATGAATTTGTTGCAGTGACTCAGGGGGAGTCCGAGTTAATTAAATCCATTAAGCAATTGTGGAGCTATTTCCTTGCAGTCACTGGGTGCAGAGTGCTGCCCTCTTTCATGTGTAACTGTAGCTTGGAAAAGGGAGAGCTCTGAAGTTCCTGAGACTCACCTTAAATAACATTTCCCAACTGAGTGGATACCATTGTTCTTTTCATTAGGCAGACTCCAAGCTGTGCCCATTAAATCCCTGGTAAAGCCTCTGGAAGTACCCGGGTTTCTGGCAGGGTTCAGTTGCCCAGCTCAGAAATGTTTTGGCACTTGAATTCCACGGATTTCAAGTACCAGTGGCATCAGTAAAAGGAGGAGACCCCCAATTAAAAGTGATCAAGTATCAAGGAGTGCTCAGTCTTTATCCTGAGCTACCAGAACTGTTGGGTTGCACAAGTGGCCAAAGCCAAAACGGATTTGCCTCAGGACTGGCAAAAACCAGCAGCTCAGCAGGTGGAAATTCTGCAAAATGTTTCAGGTGAAAAAAAAAAAAAAAAAAAAAAAAGGAAGAAAAACGTACAGAAGGGATTTTTGGGTCTGAGCTGCTTGTCCTCTACTTTTATTAAGTTAGAGCCAAATTTCTCAGCATGTGGAGTATTAAGAATATAACCAGGACTGCTGCAGTGTTAACTGTTGAAAGGTAAATAATGTTCATTTTAAGGGCAGAGGGGAGTTTTAAAATCTAGCTGTGCATCAGGAGCACTTGGAGCGTGGTCTCTGTACTTCTCTGCAGGGTTGGTTCTCTGATCCAGAAGTATCTGGTCCATCTAATTCATGTCTCATGGAAGATGGTGGCACTAGACAGTGTAGTGCACTAACTCAGGAGGAATGTTAAGTGCTGTGAGCTTGAGTGAATTAACAGGGATCTTGCAGGTTTGCAGCAGATTTGGATGAACTGGATTTGAGGTTATTCCTGCATCTTTTTGAGCCACACACCCTCTTGAAAAGCAGGGTGCAATTTACCCTCACATTACACATCCAGCTTCTTGACCTTTATTGTTCTGGTATCTGGGGTTCCTCAATTACTAATAGATTATATCCTCCAGCAGCCTGGTGAGATAACTGTTGACTCCCATCCCTGTCATTCTTGGGGCAAGAGGTCATTTCATGGGATTAAGCAACATGCCCAAGGTTACAAAGGCTGTTTGTGGGGAAGTGAACCTTGGTTGCTCTTGGTCCTCCTAATCTTAGGTGTGAGCCTGATGCAAGATAAATCCTTTATTCAGAGCTAACTGGGAACCACTGAAAGGAAATGGGTTGTAACCTTGGAAGATCCATTGCCCTGCTGTGCCAATGACCATTTATTCACCTGAGAAACATCAGCTGTCCTCGAGAAGCACTGAGGTGTGGGGACCATTTGGCCCTGGGTGTCCCTTGAGCCCCCTGGCTCAGGGCAGGCAGGAACAGAGGGAGTTTTATCCCAGTTCCAGCTGCAGCTAAACTGAACCCCAAACTGGAGACATTTCCAGTTGGAAAACCAGCCTTTTCAAACAGCACATTTTCAGTGACAGGGGAAGGAGAAAAGGGGGGGATTTCTGGGCTGTTTTACCGTTCTCCATGTGGTTCCTCTCGATGAAGTTGCGGCCCAGGTCTGCCTTGCAGATCTTCTCCACGTGCCTCATGCAGACGTTGAGCAGGTCATCCCTGAGGAGCCCCATGGATGGGCTCATGCTCTCCCCTTCCAGCAGCACGCTGTAGGTTGGGAGAGAGGGAGGGGGCACGTAATTCCTCATCAGAGCCCCAAATTCCTGCCAAAATAAAAAGAAGGGAGCGGAGGTTACTGAGGAACATGAGAGATGGAGGGCAAATCCCAGGCTAATCTTAGGCTCCAAGTAGTGTGAGAGCTGAAGAGGGGCAGACAAATGCTCTGTCCATGAGTTGTAGCCATCTGTAAAACAACCTGCATGTCCAAGTTCATTCTTCACCTCCCCGAGCAGAAACAGCTTCAAATGCCAAGGCAAGCTCCTGACGTGGGTGTGCACTGAACTGGAGAAGGTGAACACGTGTTAAACTCACTTGGGATTTGTCCTCAGGGCAAATCCTGTCTTCAGTGGGAAAAGAGCAAATCACAATGGAGTCTTAGTTACCTGCAGGAAGAGCACGGAGTCACTGATCTGGTGGATCTGCTCCCTGTTCTCCTTGTCCTCCCGCAGCAGCTTTGCCCTCTCCTCCAGCTCATCCACGATTTCTTTCACGTTCTCTGATGCAATCTTTTCCCTCTGGTCCAGGGCAGCCTTCACCTCATCCCTCTGCCTCTCCAGGTCACGGATCAGCTCCTTGAAATGCTGGTCCACCGTGGCTTTCTCGTTGGTGGTGTAATTCTGAGGGGCAGTTCAGAGAGGGGAGGAGCAGGAAAAGACACGGGAGAAAGAAAATATTCAACTTTTCAGGGAGCAACTTTGCAAACAGAGGGATACAGAGGGGGGTTTGTCCAAGGACTCTCAGCGTTTAGAGTATGGAGACTGCAGGTATGCAAGTTTTAGCACCAGAGAAGTTGTGCCAAGAGAAGTAATAGTTGTCCCTGCAATGATTATGTGTATGCACTCCAAAGGGCATGATGTCTTCCTGACTGTAAGAGCAGATCTTTTATTCCAATTCATAAACTGCACTCTTAGGTGATATTTAAAAACACTGTTTAACCTTCTAAATCACGCTTCTGGCTCCTCAACAATTTGAACATCACATTCCTCCCATTTCAAAGGATGAAAGGTGCTGAAACACTTTTTACAAACCTGACCTCGAGGTCCCTCTGAAATATTCCTCAGAAAGACTGTGGATGTAACTCTATTCAGACTTAAAATTTCTAGGTCAGGTTTCCAATAATAATAATAATAGTAATAATAATAATAATAATAATAAAGCAGATGAAAAGCAGGACTGGTGAGCCACTGTGTGTGCACCACATGAAAGGGAGAAGAATGGCTTTGTCTATTAATATTATGCAAATTTTCTGGGGCGTCTCCAAATAGTGTTTTCACTGCTCTATTCAGTTAGGGCATAAATGAAAAAAAGAAAATAATGCCATTGCTACATTCCAACCCCTACCACGGTGAAAGAATTATAAAGGAGCCTTATATCAGTATGGAAATAAGCTGTTCCACTATAAATAAGGTGTTTGGTGGTGGAAGTGCTGCCTTATCTCGGTTTGGGTTACCCAGAGCCCTTCTGAGGGTTATTCCTGCGTGTGGTCTGGTGGGAAGAGGAGCAGCACACCTTTGTTTCTGACTCTGCCTGGCTACTGGGGACAGAAGAGCCATCAGGCACCCAGAGCAGGGAGGTGCCTGGGGTGGTTTTGTAACAAGGCTGCGCTGCCTCTCCTTGATCTCCCCCGGGACGTGTCGCAAGGTGGCTCCAGGAGGAGCTCTGTCGCCAAGGATTGGCAGGAGAGAGCTTGGGAGAGCGATGGGCGAGGGATGGAGTGAGTCAGAGCTGGGGGTGGCAGGGAAATTAAGGAAAGGAGGATGTGGGAGAGTGGAAGAGAAAGCAATAAGAGGCCTTAACGTCTCACACACACCTTGATCCGGTCCCTCTCCTTCTGCCACTTGTCCACTTCATCCTCCACCTCGATGATCTTCAGCTGCAGCTGCTCCTTCTGCAGCGAGAGCTCGGCCTGGGAGAGAGAGAGGGAGGGAAGGAGGGAGTCTCATGAGCTGGGGCTGAGGGTGGCCCACTTCAAAGCAGCCCTGTGCTCCCACTGCTGCGCCTGGCCCCGAGCAGGAGTGGCTGCGAGGCACGGGCTGCTGGCACCGCTTGAGATGGAGATCATGTGCTGCCACTGGACAGCATCCCAGAGCCGCTGGCTGGGTCAGGAGAGCCGGCTCCCTCAGCACCGGCACCCACCTTCCACCGTGCCTCCTTTAATCACATGAGAGTCATGAGCTGGAGGGGGAAGAGGCCTGTTTCAAAATTCAGCTGTGTGTGCAGGGCAGGGCCCGTCCCAGGGTGTGCCTTCTGCAGCAATAACAGTTTTCATCTAATTACGGAATGACGTTTGACGAGTGTTGCAACAAGAGGATGATGCCTCCGGCAGGAATTCTGTTTGGACAGGATTGTGGATTAATTTGCTCTGAATTGAGAGGCTTTCATGTTATGATGAAGCTGGGGGATGCTTGGAAAAAAAAAATAAAAGAAAAAAAAAAAGAAAAGAAAAAAAGCGCACAAAAGGAGGAGGGATGAGGTGTAGTCAACCTGCTTGGCTTAGATCAGCAACTTCACTGGGGTTCATTTGCATTTGGCTGTGCAGTGGCTTCCCAGGTTTGCTGAGAGCAGACACTTGCAGGGCAGCCCATGGGACTGGAGCTGAAGGATGAGCCCAGGGCCGGGCTGTCAGGACTGCCCTGTGCCGTTAACTCCGGGCAGCCCCTCCCTGGGCCCTTCACACTCACCACCAGCACATCATGACAAAGCCTTTGTTGACGCATTTCAAGGTGTTCCTGTGTTTCATGTGTGCACAGCTATGACTACAGGCAATCTGGCTGTGGGACACTCACCCCACAGCTCTTGAGGAACTACACAGTTGGCAAAAAATGACCCGTGTTCTGCAACCAGTCCTGCAGACCTGCTGCTCCTGTGGGATCTGCTGGCAAAGGGTTGCATGACCCCAAAACCACTCGTACTGAGAGCAACAATTAGAGGCAAGGGAGATACTGGATGGATAAATCCGCTCCCACGCACCTCGCCCAGCTGTCTGTCCAGGAACGTAACACAGCATGAAAATCTGGGTCCTTATTGATCACAGGCACCCTCAGAGCGGGAGTTAAAAACTTCCCAGTTCTCCATTCAGGATGGAGAGCAGGCAACAAGCTGTCCAGCAGCCCAGACCAGGAGAGCAGCCCATCAGGGCAGATGGAGAGCAGAGTCTGAGCATCCCCCTGAGCTGGAATCAGGCACAGCCATTGACTCCTGCTGCTCCAGTTTAGACAATCTCCATTTACAGAGGGAGAGCAACTCCACAGTTGCTTTGCTGCCTTGTAAAACACGAGAAAAGGGGGAACCAAAAAGGGAAATGCACTCAAAAGTGTCTCAGGGCCAGAGAAGCTGCCTCCTCACACTGTCACTGTCCTCGTTGTTGGGAGTTAAGAGAGCTCTGGCCCTTTGAATATGATCCAAACACCCTGACAGCCTTCAGGAGTGAATGGAATGGGGTCATGAGCTGAATCTCATCTTTTTTCAGGGTACAAATGAAAGGGTTTTGTGGTACAGGTTCATCAGGCAACCACACAGGCTTCAAGATGAGAAAATTTTCTCTGTTACTGATCAAAAGAGTAAAGACATGAGTTTGATCCAATAGTTTCCACATTTTCAATAGAGTGACTTGGAGGAATCCATGTGAGAATGTCCTCTGCATCAACACTCTTTGCACAGCAGGAAAATGCAACAAGATTAAAGGCATTTTTAGATCATTTTTTTCCTATTGCACTCCATTAACCAATGTGAGAAATCACACTAAAATGCAAGTTGTTTTCTCGAGCCACAGAGCTACATGCAGATGGTATCCATTGTTAGCAAAGCAGTTCAAAACACACATCTCCTGAGCAATCATTTCCCTCCTCATCCCTAAATATCAGGATATTCTTCTGGCAAGACTCTGAGGGATTTTTTTGGAGGAGAGCAGACCTTTCACAGCCACACAGACACTCCCAAACACAGGGGATTTGAAGAGAAAGATAACAGGGAAAACAAAAAAGTCAGGTGATGGCTGGAAGGCAGTGATAACAACATGATACTTTTATAGTCCTTTTTAATTAAGATGGGTCTCCAAGGAATTTTGGAAACTATTACTTGCTCGAAAGTGATACTAAGCTTGCTGTAGTTGTAACATCCCTTGGCCCAGAAAGATAGTTTGGGTGCCTCTGGGATGGGATGCAACAACTATTTAAGGGCAGACCCACACAACAATTTAGAGTGAGAGATTTATGACTTGCAAATGGAAATTACAGAGATAGCTCCAATCGCCAGAATGCAAATACCACACTCATCCAGGTTTGGCAGGGGTTAAAACATCCCTTCTGATGGCAAAAGGAAACACTGGCACAGACACCAGCAAGGGCAGGGGAGGTGAAGGGAGGTGTGGTTGTGTGATACTACAGACATTAAAAAATACAACCAAAAAAAACCCCCTCCAAATCATAGAAAGGAGTGTTCAAAGGAGGTCCAAGGAGATTCTGGAATAGTACAACAACTGTGACATGGGTGTAAGGATTCATAAGGGTGCCCTGGAGAGGGACCACATCATGATTTCATGATGTTTTTAGGACCCTGTTCAGCCTGGGACTGGCTGAAAGGCTGGTTCAGCTGTCCAGTATATCACATACATGTATAATTACAGGTACTGGGCACAGTCACCTCAACTTCATCTTCTGTGAGGAAACTTCTCTCCCAGCTTTCTTGGTATTTCTCACATTTTCCAGGGGCAACAAACCCCGATTCTCTTGTGAGGGACCATCCAAAACAAATGCATTGGGGTTCAGAAGATGCCAGTGACAGATAACACAGAAACACCACCCATGGCAGGGGGAGTCCCTGCAGTGCAGAAATAACAGTAACAGTGAAGAAGATCTAGGAAATACAAGCGTGGACCATTCAGTCTGAGCAGAGCAAGTTGAGAAATGATAGCACTGAGAGTCTTTGAGCTTAGATTGGATCCCCTGCTGGAGTCTGAGTTAATTAGGCCAGCCAAGTGGCCTAAGTGAAAGTTCAGAGTGTCCAACTAAACATCCACAACTGTACCCAGCCCTTGAGCTGTGGAGAGGACCTGAGATTATGAGTCTTGCATCATGATGCAACTCGTTTCTGCAAGGCAGCAGTGCAAGCATCATCATGCCCTTAATGCTCTGGGAACCCAGTGGCTGAATCAGGGAACACCCCTGTGTCACCAGCCTGGGAGAGCTGTGCTAATTACTGGCAGCAACATCCCAACCCAGTAATGAAGCTGGAGAAGTGCTGTTCAAACGAGTTGTCCCGGTGCAGGGCCAGTGTTGGAAGGGACACGGCTGAGGAGTCAGGAATCTGTTGGAGGAGGTATCAGTTCTGCTGGTTTTACAACTGCATTTTGCCCCTCAGTGGGCTAAAAATCTCTGGGAGCCTCTGCCAGCATCCTGCAAAAAATGCCACTGTGGGAGCTGAGCCCAGAAAAGGCTCTCTGCAGGGCTGGAAGAGAATTCCAGATTGGTGGATTGGAGTATTGCAAACTGGTGGATTTTCCCTGGATTCTGCCCTCAGTGTAGAGGCATTAATGCAGAAAGCTGGCAAACAGGCAAATCTACTCCAATCCCAGCTTGCAGCAGGTCACTTTTCCAGCTTTCCAGCTAGGAAGAGCCTCCTGCAGTGACTGCACCACCTCTGGGGAAGGAACATCCGTGTCCACAGGTGACCCACAACCGCTGTAGATGAGGTCTCACAGCCACACTGCATCAGTGGAATGCTGACATCCCATGCTGATCCCGTGACATTCCACGAACGCTGCCATACTGATACACCCCTGTTTGCTCCCTGGTCAGTGAAAGCAAGGCAGAGGGGATGGAAATCCCTCCGGATCCATCCCTGGGGATGGTTGAATTCAAAGCCTGGCTCAGCCTCTGTGAATTCTTGGAGCCCAGGAACACCCAGCTCCCATCCCTGCCCAGCAGCCCCCTGTACCTGAGGTACAACGTGAACCTTTCATTAAAGGTGAAGACTCAGAGAAATAAAGCAAACTAAAATCAAAGTGCCTCTCAGCAGAGCTGACCTGCCACTCTGGGCACCGAGGCTGCTGCTGGGGGAGGTAATGGCAGGTTATTTACGGCTCTGGCACCAGCAGGCAGAGGTGAAGTTGTCTCGTTTTTGAGAACAGGCCTGTAAAACAGGTTTGGAGTGAAGGATCCCCTTTCAAAATGAAGGATGCTGTCTGCAAGGGGGGCTCTGGTTCTGCTGATAAATCAAGCTGGCCACGGGGTTTTATTTGAGTGTACAAGCTGCTGTAGACAATTCTCACTTCTCAAGCGTGAGTGGTTATTCCCCAGCCTCACAGGCTTTTCCTTGGCTGTTTCTTGCACTGATTCTGGTGCAGGGCTTACTTTTCCTTTAAATCTGCAGCAGGAAACTAATGCCAAGTGGATCTGGGGAAGGCATTAAAGGTTTGCTGGGTAAAATATGCAAATAGCACTGGGTGGAAACTCAGAACAAATGGCTCTGGCTGAGTCCCTGTGCCTTCCACTGGTGCAAAAGGACAGATGCACCTAAACCACCTGATTATGTGACAGTTTTGTGCCACCAAATTGCTGAGCACCCAGAGTGACAGTCAGGCTTAATTGCAAGCACCCCCATATAAACACCAGTGCTCCTGGAATCCTCTGCAGTTTTGGAGTCACAGAACAGCCAGGGACTGGGGAATCCTTGCAGGCGAACCAGTTAATCCTTGGCATCCCCCACAGTGGGAAAGGGTCTCTCTGTATTCTGGTCACCAGTCCAGTGGCACAGTCAGCAAATTTGGAGGCAGCAAAGCTACCCTGGAGCTGCTTGGATTCCGAGCTGTGAAAACGGGGGCAGGGATAGGGATGACCTGCTGTGGGGTTTTTTTTTGCTTCTCCCTTCCACAAAGGCCCTCAAAGTGGTCACTATTCCAATTTGTGGTCACATTCCAGCTCTGATTTGCAAGGCTTGATAATGGGGGGGTGGTACACACAAAGGGTTGGAAACGCTCATTCCTCTTTGTGGTTCTTGCTGAGGCTCCACCTATGGTGAATAAAACCAGGGCTAGGAATAAACATTTGTAAGCAACAGCTCTTCTGTTAATTGTTTTTGTCTGAGCGAACACTCGCTCAAGTTACAACAGGACAGAACTCGTCCTCAGGAGAAACTTGCACATGTGTGTGATTCAGATTGATAAAGCCCTAAATCCTTCAGGCTCAGCAGCAGCAGGATCAGCACAGGGACAGTGCAGGAACTAAAGCGTGGAGCTTAAGGAGTGGCACAAGAACTCCAAGAACTCGGAGAGAGAAATCAAAGATCATTTCAATCATAGGTAAATCTGCTCAGTCTTTAAAAGCAAGGTGTTGCAGATCCATCCAGCCACAGGAAGAAGATCTGGCTGGCTTTGCTTCCTCAGGAAGCAACTGTTGAGCTCATTCCAGCAGAAACAGCTCAGAGGGATCGGACACCCTGGCAGACACCAGACACAGCTTCGTGTCAGGGCCGTGAGATGTTCAGAGCTGACATCAAAACCACAAGAAGAAGCAATTATGGAACAAACAGCAGGCTGGCAAGCCCTGCAGGAATTGAAGAAAGGCTGGCTGGGGCATGGAAGAAGCTTTGTCTGGTTTCGGCAAAGCTGCAGGTTGAAGATGACATGGCAAGGAAAGACCAAACGGGGAGACAGAGATAAGCTCAGCATAAGATGCTCCTTCAGCCTTGTGAGATAAATCTTCCCAGCTCCTTAGAAAGAGTTCAACTGTTCTTCCAGTTGAGGGTAACTCCAGAATTTCTAACAGCAGGTACCTGTATTTGCCTGCTCACCACATCAGAGCACTGGCTTGGGCTGTGCCTAAGAATAGGATTTAGCAGGTCTTAGTGCCCTTCCAGTGTCTGCCACGCACTGACCGTGGGACTCCAGGCAAATTATTTGCCATTTTCACGTCATCCTTTCTGCCATCTCTCCTGCCTTGTCTGTTTGGAGGGTTTCTAGGCCAGGACATGCTTTTACCACGGGGATGTGCAAGCAGTGAACCTGGTGAGACCCTGATCTTGTGGAATAATCATCCACCCACCCAGAAAGCAAACAGCACGAGGCTTTGAGCAAACAAAGGTGAAAGGCATTTCATTAGTGAGCCTTGTCTACATCTCCTTAGATGTCCATCCTCTAAACCCATTGTAGCAGCACTCCAGGGGAAATGATCATGTTTTGTGCTTGCACCAGGGCTTTTTTCTTCATCTAAGCTTCAAAAGCCTCTTCCCATAGGTGTGGCTTGACACTGTTCATTATTATATCCGTAACAGATAAGTAAAATAACCATAATCTCACTCGAAGGAGCTGAGATGGCAATTTTCAACAGTCACCCAGAACCTACCAGTAACTTTAGCAGCTGATCTGACCACCTGGAGGAACCTGATGCCCACCTTTCTGGCTGTGGGTAAAACTACACAAACACCATCAAAACTCCAGACTGGGTTTTCCTAGGGCTTTGATTCAGCTTCTGCTTAAAGTCAGGTGTGCAACCAGGGGTGGAAACAACACTCTCCATCCCCCAAATCCAGTCTGCAACACACCACCAGCGTTGTGGTGCTGCAACCAGCCATCAGGAGAACAACAGTCCCCATCACAGCAGCACCCAGGCAATACCAGTCCTCTGCTAAACACTTCCCATCCACCACCCCTGCAACCCCAGGACTGCACACAGACGTGACCTGAGCAGAGACTGCAGAATGGAGAGCAAAGGCTGGGGTGTCACATCGACATCTACAGACCGATGGGAGCACGAAACAAAGAGAGAATTACCTCTTTCCCCGCTTTCTCGATCTCCACCGTCACCGTGCTGTGGTTCTTGTGCTCTTGGAACATGCAGAGGTAGCAGATGCACATCTGGTCCGTCTGACAGAACAGCTCCATGGTCTTCCCATGCACAGGGCATTTTCTTGCTTCGAAGTCCCTGATGGGGTCCAGGAGCTGGTGGTCCCGGAAAGCTGCTCCCTCCAGGTGGGGCTTGAGGTGCAGCTCACAGAAGGAAGCCTGGCACACCAGGCAGGACTTCACAGCCTTTTGCTTGTTGTCGATGCAGGAGTCGCACAGAACATCCTCGAGCTTCACCCTGGGCCGTGAGCCAGCTGCTCTGTCCGGCTTGTTGAAGGGTCTTCTCAGGTCCCCCGTCTCCACCAGAGGCAGAGAAGACTTCTTCAGGTCCCCCATCTGCCCCGCAGAGAACAGGGACTTCCTCCCCTCCCCATCGCTGGGCAGGAAGCTCTTTTTGGAATCCAAGGAGAAGAGGGACTTCCTGAGGTCGCCTTTCTCTGGGAAGGAGAGGGCTGGCCTCCTCAGGTCTCCTATCTGTCCGCTGGCATACTGCATCTTCTTGGAGTCAGCCGAGTCCATGCTGAAGTAGGTTGACCTCTTCTCGTCGGATGACTCCACAAACTGAATGATGGGCCTCTTCCAGTCACTCCCAGAGAAGAGGGAGCTCTTGATTTGCCCCGTCTCCAGCGCAGCACCGCCCGTGCCTTTTATAGCTTCTTTCTCACCCCCGCCAGGGCTCGTCGCCTTCTTCGCCTCCTCTTCTTTCTTGGGGGTGGTTGGGCTCTTCACATCCTCGGCCTTCCCGGTGGTGCCGTTTGTCCTCGCTGTTGTCCCCGTTTCCATGGTCTAAGCAGGGCAAGGTGGCCTCTGTGCTCACTGGTTTCCCCCAGCTCCTGCCTCTCAGCCCCCCTCCAAAGCGGGTTCCTCCTGCTCCTGTCGTTGTCTCAGCAGGGAATGGCTGTGGAATGCAGGAACCCTTCTGCCCAAAGTGACGCACCTGGAGCTCCCTCGGGGAGGAGGAGGAGGAGGAGAGCGCCTGGATTGTGCTGGGGAGATGCAAGAGGGGGGAAGAAAGGAGCAGACGTTGAGGGATCAGAAGCTACAGCTGTGCAGTTAATTATACAAGGCAGTCCACACCCAGGAACATTCTTGTCTAACCAGGTTTGGGAGGAAGGGCTGTTTATATACATAGAAAATGCCTTTCGCAAAAAAAAAAAAAAAAAAAAAAAAAAAAAAAAAAAAAAAAAGAAAGAAAGAAATCATTTTCATTAAGATGTGGCAACCAGTCCGACCGCTTGTTTCAGAAATAATCCTGCTCCCTTGTTGCCAGGAGCTGAGGTTCCCTCCTCGCAGAGAGGGGCAGGGGTGGAGAGCCCCACGAGATGCCCAGGATGGGTTTGTTAACTGGGTCATCCACATGCACCAAAAATAATTAGGGCTGTAATTAAAACGAACGCCCAGAATGAAGCGTTCCTCAGCGGGGCTCCCCCGAGGGCTCACTGCGCTCAGCAGGACAGGCAGGGGAAATATGGTTAGTACTGGCTTTAAGAGACCCTATTATCTTTAGTTTGGGTTTGTGCAAGGTCCATCCATCCACCTAGACCTGGAAATCCATCAGAACAACACAGCTGGCCTCAAGAAAAAACAGGTTGGTCCTGCTCTTCCGTGCAACGTCCAAAATATGCCCAGTAAAACAAAAACCCCCATTTGTGTGTTGGGAGATAAGGGTTCAGGTGGATCCCATGTAGCTCTTCCCATAAATGTCCACGCTGAGCTCAGAGACACACCTGGAACACACCTGGAAGAGGAACTATGTTGCAGCTACACGGCCAAAATATTTCTTGCAAGGAAAAAAAAAGAAATAAAAAAAAAAAAGAACTGAAAGGTTTAAGTTTTAAAAATAGATCTGGCTTCACTTGCTGTATTCCTGGGAAATGCTCCCTTGTTGGAATCACAGATTTCAGAGGGAAAAGGCTCTTTATAAGCACTGGTGAATTCTGGCAGCTTCAAAAGGAGGAGGTTGATCTCGTATCACAGAATTTCGGATTATGCCCTGGATTTCAGTGAGATTTCTCTGAGATTATTGCCCAGGGTGTAAATTAACCATGCCAAAGATCTGGGCTTAACTTAGTTTGCACAGAATGCAACGGTGGCGTTGCTGGAGAATGTGATTTTTTAGCTGTAATAATGTCTCATTAAACATCTGTAATGAAACCCCTGCTGGAAGTGATTGAAGCAGTGGAGGAAAAGTCCAGATTTTTATATTTTATATATAAATTTTATAGATTTTATTTTTTTTTTTGGCTCATAGATTTTTCCTGGCTTAGAGATCCTGCCCCCCGACTGCCTGCATGTCATTATGGCACTCTGTCTATGAGAAATGGCTCAGTATACATGATTTTTTGGGGGATAATGGTTGTTGGGAAAGGCCACACCTTTTGCAGTGATTTCGAATGGACATTGTTTTATTAACAGGGCCACAGTCTTTCATGAGTCACAAGTAGGAAAGGGCAATGCTATTTTTTAGAAAACCAATTTCATAAAAGAAAAATCTGACTGACGTGCATGTATTTCTTCCCCCCTGGCTGTCTGGGCTGAGCTGTTCTTTATAACATCAACAGTCCTGCAGATCTCCAAGTAATTAAAAATACTGGAGGGTGGAGGTGCCTGTTCTCACGTGTACAGAGGAGACTCAGCAGAGCTTTTCCAGCCAGCATTTAATACCTAAGGAACAAAAAACATCTGCATGAAGAGGTCTAATGTGGAAGAAGGTGGCCTTGGTTTCTCTCGTTTTCCTGCTGCTTTGTTGAGATGTTGGACAAGGTAAGGCAGTGAGAAGAATAAGGGCTGAATTTTTAGATCTTGACACAAACGCAGAGTAAATCATAAATTCACAGAATGCTTCAGGTTGGAAAGGACCTCAAAGACCGTATTTTGCTCCACGGGACACTTTCTACCGGAGCAGGTTGCTCCAAGCCCCGTCCAACCTGGCCTTGGACACTTCCAGGGATGGAGCAGCCACAGCTTCTCTGGGCAACCTGTGCCAGGGCCTGCCCACCCTCACCAGGAAGGATTATCTTCATCCTCAATTTCCCCTCTTTCAGTTTGAAGCCATTCCTCCTTGTCCTGTCCCTTCAGTCCCTCTCCAGTTTCCCTGTAGCCCCTTCAAGACGCTGGAAGGTGCTCCGAGGTGTCCACACAACCTCCTCTTCTCCAGCCCCATCCTGTCTCCAGGCCCCTTTATCACCTCTGTGGCCTCCTTTGTTGGACTTGCTCCAACAATTCCCCATCCTCCTTGTGTTGGGGGGCCCCTGATCTGTACACACTGTTCCAGGTGGGGTCTCACGTTTTCCAGAGCAATTTAGGAGCCAAAGTCCAGCCCAGCCTGGCTGTCTCTTTATCTTTGCACCTCCCAGAGGGTGGCTCCTGATTTCTCTAGCATGAGTTCACACTTGTATAAGTGATTTTTGAGCTAGTTCTCCCCACATTCCCTGCACAGGACAACAGTCTCCTCTGCAGGGCTGTGTGTGATGGGCCCTTGTCTGTGCCTGTGACTCAGAGCACACACCCACCCCTGGCATCTGCAGGGCCTTTCATCTCTAAAACTCACAGCAGCTTTTCAAAGGTTCACAAATTAAACTTGACAACACCTTTGCAAAATAGGTCTGGGTTGCTAACCCCATGTGGCAATTAGGGAAACTGAGGCACGTACTGGGGAAACAACAGATTTTTCAGCAGATTTACCCCCCCCACCCTGAAATGGCTGTTTCATTCTCTTACTTTTCATCATTGTGACCCCTCTAAATCCTTGATATTTTTTAAAAAATATTTAATATTTAATAGTCTATGATGATGCTGCTCTTGTTTTGAACATCGTTTTTTTCCCCATTGTAGCAGAAAGTTTGGGTGTTTGTTGCTTGTACTGAATGAAGTGGAATGTGCTGCACAAAAATCCTCGTGGGCTGGTGCCTAAAAACCAAATATCCCCAGGATGAAAAAGTGAAAAAATTGGGTCCATTTCAAGCTAAGTAGAATAGAAACAGTTAAGCCAACCCCAGGGCACTCCTTTAGACAGGCTCCAGAGGAGAATTTCAAACACCAGCGACTGATGAAGTCATGGAGAGTCATGGAGAATTAGCTCAACCAGCCCATGATTCACTGGCCCCAGTTCTCACAACAACTCCAACCAAACTGGGAGCAGGGAACCTGTCTGCTAATTACCTGTGCTCTACCCACTAATCCACTCTGCTTTCACATCCTACATTCCTTCAGCCCTTTCTCATTTCTTCCACCTTTATAGAAAATAAAAGCAGGGCCAGGAGATGCGAGGCTGAGGTGCAGCTGGGTTGTTTCTGCTCCAGGAGAGCCCAGGAATCAATCTGCCAGGCATGTGGAGCCCATTGAGCAATGCCCAATGCATTAAGCAGCTCCCAGGGTGACAGCAGAGCAGGCAGAACGAGTTCAGGGCTTCGTGCTGCTCTCACAGGCAGCAGATTCGGTCAGCAGTGCGTCCAGGTGGGTCAGTGGGGCTCTCCTGGCAGAGAAGGGCACGGGGGAAACGACCCCATTGCTGCAGCTGTGCTGAGAGCAGCTCTGCAGACACTCTGAGCTGGGATTTCATTGAATCATGGGATGAGTTGGGTTGGAAGAGACCTTACAGACCATCCTGTTCCACAAATGCCATGGGCAGGGAGACTTTCCACCTTTCCACTACAGCCCAGGTTGCTCCAACCTGGCCTTGGACACTTCCAGGGATGGGGCAGCCACAGCTTCTCCGGGCAAACCTATGCCAGGGCCTCCCCACCCTCACAGGGAATGATTTCTTCTTGACATCCCCACTAAACCTACTCTCTTCCAGTTGAAAACCACTGTCCTGTCGTTATCCGCCCACGTAAAAAATCCCTCTCCCTCCCTCTTATAAGCCCCCTTAAGGCACTGGAAGGCCCCAGTGTCTCCCAGCAGGTGATGAAGGGAAGGAGAACTCAACCAGGAGGATCATATTTTGGGGGGGGGATGCACTTTATCGCATTTAGGCAGGTGCTGAACCGAGGGCTCAGCTCTGCTCAGGCCCTGGGCAGGATTTGACTCCAGCTACGACGACTCGGGCTTTTAGGGCAGCGTGAGCATTCAGATAGCTCCTCCAGGGTACCAAGCTGGCCAAGGACGAGCTTCCCAGGGCTTAAATCAGGCCTGCAGGCTATGAGCTGGACCTTGGGGAATCTTAATTATTGGAACAAGTTACAGGCAGGACATAAAAGGCCGTGTTGTAACAGCGATACTCAGTGAGGTGACTCACTGCAGGAGGGAGAGGGCGTGGGGCAGGACAACTGGAGGGTATTTGCTGCCTGGGGGAGGACCCCTTTCTAGTGGTTCTGCTGAGTCTTCAGCTCTGAGAAGGCCGAAGGAGGAAAACGACAGCTCAGCATTAAATGGGTGTGCAGCTGAAGAGGGGAGCTCTGAGTTAAAGGACGATGCTTTTGTCACATCAAACAGGGTCAACCTGGCCGTTGAAAAACGCAGGCTAGAAATTAGAAAAGCATCACAGGGTCGAAGTTCAGGGATGGCCTTTGAAACAGTCTTGGACACCAGAGTCCAGGATTCAGGGTGAGCTTGCTGCAGTCATCAACACGTTGCATAACTGTACAGAGGATCCTGCATGCCTCCAGTGTGCTCACAAGGCTTGTTGCACCACATTCATGTTGGCTTTAATTAATTAATTAAGCCTGTGTTTCAAGGCTGCTGCTGGTTGTCCTGTATAGGTCAGGAAGGATTCCCCCCCCCCAGCCCCCCACTTTGATGATTAACTTGGTTTCTGTGTCATTGGTTTTCAGTTTTTGTTTTCT